GAATTTTATTCGCAGGATCTAATTTTTACTGAGGAACATTACTTATACTCGTAATCATTCGTTCACTTGTAATTAATGCTTAACGTAGTGTGAGATGAAATAAATCGACGAATGCCTAGGAAACTGGTTGAAAACAAATTGTTTACGGAAGTGGTTATTTGTTGCGAGCTACATTATAATATGCAAATAGGCATATCAAATGTGATTCTCACGACACTTAATACCCGAGAAAACATCGGTGAGCAAGCGGAGCGTTTTGATGACACCATCAGCATACCGGACACGCGTGTTTGTTATATTTATTAAATTACCAAGAGCAACATTAACGTGTACGTATATTATTTAACTTGTTAATTGGAAACTCAATGTCAGTTAGACTGCTTCAGTCCCAATGTAAATGTAATGTAATTTATTACACGACGTGAAATCATGCCTGAGAGATACAGTGAAACAGTTAGAGAAGATTATTAAAAATCTTTCACAGCTTATTAGAGATTTCAACGACAAATCTTTAGAAATTCCTACGAATATAACATATGTACAGAGATTAAATGGTTTCCATAAATATTGTACGAATTTCGCAACTTAAACGTCACCGTAGAGAAATAGAAAAAAAAAACTTGACGATAGTGAGATAAAATTTTTTTAAATTCTATGCTCTTCGTCATTTTATCAAGCTATCAAAAAAAATTGCGCAATAAAAACAAAATTATATGATAAAAAAAATGTAATCCTGATTTTGAAAATCATGTCAATCACTAAAAAGAACAAAAAATAAGAGACGTGACGATACATTATAAGTTATACAGTGGCATGAATCTTGTCTTGAAATAACTTGAATGCATCGCATGCAGAGAATAATTATCCACTGGATAAGATAACTACGAGAAAAATTTTCCGCGAAAATTACGGACGAATAAGTGTTGGTCAATTATCGTTAATGATAAATTGAGAGTCTTGAAAACTCTGGTTATCATATTAACGATGAAGTAAAACCTTTTCGTCCTACATCTCATTTTCTTTAACACACATAATTCCTTGAATCTCGTAGCTCTATATATATATGTAATATATATTTGACTACTAAAATATGTAGATATTTCACGTAGTTCAGCGGAGCTCCGTTTAATCAGTTGAAATGCAAACTATCGATACTCCGAATGAAAATTTCATACAATTCGACAACTTCTATTTTAACGATGTGGGTCAGTGTCTTATTCTAATTGCGGGTTAATCCTGAACCGTCGTCGAAAAACTCGATGTCTAAATTGGAAAAAAGGTATTGAAACCGACTCTACGAATAATTGCAATTTAAAAGCTAAAGGAAATTTCAAAATCTTTCACGTAGAATGCATTAATAAGAAACTTCTAAAAGGGGAGAAAGAGACAGAAAGTAGATAAGGCATACAAAGAGTATTAAAAATACTGTACGATCGTTTTAGGAAGAGCTGTAATCGAACGTCGTGAAGAAAAAAAAAAAAAAAGAAAAAAGAAAAGGGGAAATAGGGGGGGGG